AGCCTTCGTAAGGTAATGTGTTTCATGCCTGCGTTGTATCCAATAACGATTGTAGCGAGGTATATGAGATTCGTTGCGAGTTATTGATTCTGTGGTGTAGGGTTTGCTTTTTAATGAATCTTTTCTCGTGTTACTTTATCGTCTTTGACGTGCTTTGTTAAAGAAGATTCTGAATGTGCAATGGAAATGTCTCTGTTGCGTGGTTGCGCGCCAGTTCGCATATGAATGTCTGTCATTTGTGTCTTTCTGTATTTCTTGGCCGAAAATTTTGAATGTATGGGGGGTTCGCACAGCACGCAGACAGCCGTCGTTCCCTCGTTGCCATTCGAGTATTCTTTGCCTCCGTTCCGCCGTTATTACGCGCGAACCGAACAGCCGCAGCAGCAGCTGAACCAACGCTTCTACGACAGTTATGTATCTCGGCTCGCTAGCAGAGGATCCACTACCGATGGAGCGCAGTCGCCTGTCACCATCCATGACATTCGTGGCGATTTCGGTCCGTTACCCGAGGAAAGCGATGACGATACGACTTGTCCCATTTCTGTGACCGACGATTCAAGCCTGGACCTTCATCGCTTCGCCGCTTCCCAACTTCCTGATGCTTCTCGTAAAAGCTGTGGTCGGAAGCATTGCCATAGATTGAAATCTTTCACGGCGTCTCTGTTCCACAGATCGGGAACAAAAGTACGTCTGCTTTCAGAATTGAATTACACGCGTTTTATTCAACTGATAAATAAATCTGAGATAAATTTACGAAAGCCAGCAGCTGAGCGATTTTTCGGCAATTATCAGATCAGTTTCGATATCCGAGTCGTCATCTTTATTAGTTGCCAACAATCTGTCGCCTCTGGAAACCGCGAAAATGGCATGGAATCACGTAGCTTACTCAAGCAAATTGTGTCATCCATGTATCCCGGGGTCTGTTTGTGTATCATCCATAGGGGAGCAGTGATGCGGTGCGTATATAAATGTTTATGGTCGTGCAGTGGTACGTTGTCAGGAGCCTCTCTTCGTAATCTTTCCACATGATTGTAATGGGCGGTTCTGCGACATCTAATCTGGTTAGCGATAAGAGCAGTGTAAAACAAAGCACTTAAACCGCACAGAACTGGTGAATTAAAAGTAATTGAGAGTTAGGAGAGATTGCTGACGTTGGAGACTCTCCAGATCTTTTCGGGATTTAAGATTTTCATGTCTTGAAATCATATATATACGCTATTTCTGCAAATCCCGCTTGACAGTAATCTTTCTTTAATTCTATAATTTTCATCTAGGAAGTGAAAAAT